ATACATGCTCGTTTGACACCACTTCCAAAGCTGCACCTCCGGTGCCACGACAGAGACCCACAACCCATACACCTGTTCCCCCACCTCCACCACCACCACCACCTCCCACTTTACCACCGTGAACAAACACAAACGTTCCTGCTACAATCAGCTATGTTCCCGCCACAACACCGGCACCTTTCCCCCCCTGCACCGCCCTCCAAGCCAGCTCTCACACCACTTGTCCTACCTGCGGACATTCACAAAGAAGTTCAGCAGCAGCAGCAGCAGCAGTTGAGAGCTTCTCAAAGTGGAGTGGTCTTTCACATGACGAACCCGGAGTCATTCAATTACTCTCCATGTCGGCGTGATTTTAGTCTCACAGGGTCTCAGATGTATTCCTTGATGCTCCCTATCGATTATCAGGGCGTGTGACATCACATCGAATCACTCACACCAGGCATCAGTGATGATTTCATGCTCGACCAGACTGTTCTGCACCACTCCGCCAAGCTGTTAAAATCCAGTGGTATCAATTATCAGAAGATACCGCAAACTCCAGCTACAGTTCACAAAGATCCCGAAGGAACCTTTGGTTGGGGATTTGCAGTGGGTAATTTTCCTGGACCCCTTGCAACGATGAGAGGATCAGGCGACAGCAAGTTTAATGGGTTTCACCGAAAATCGGAGTTGGGAGCTCTTGAGTTATTGGAAACTGGCAAGCTTTCCAGAAGCACCACTGATGGGTTGGACATGCCACCTGGAATGGAACCACGTGGCTTCTTCGCCAAGGCAATGTTCTCTTATCTTGTCGAGGGCAACAGTTATTCTCATGCTAACACCGTCGTTGACTTTTACTATCATGGGAAGAACATTTGCAACATTGTATCTTCTGGTGAAGTCTATGGTCAGCATGTCAAACCTATCAATGCGGATGTACATCGAGAACAACAGCGATATCCAGTTGTGCATTCATGTTCAAAAAACAAACGATGACTCATTCGTGAAGACGTTATTTTTCTCTGAAGCAATCCTGATGTCAATTGGGGTAAATGGCAGGCAAAGCCGTGACAGCTCTCACTAGGTTCACAAGTTCCGAATGTCCTCACAAGCCATCCCTGTATGTGATTTTACTTTTGCTGCTTTTGGATGTCTTACTACCTCCAGTGGGGGATGGCAAAGTTTCACCCAGTATGCAAGTAATGGCAAACCCTGCTGACTGTCGTAAAACTGAAATATGTTGGCATGATTGTGTTGCTGCAGTCTTGAAGCAATCATGAATGCATGCGGGTCAGTGTTGCGAGCAACTTACATGTCTGCCTGAACTGTTTCAGATGGGTATGCTCCTTTCGCCACCTTCATCTCCATTAGCAGTCACGCAGAGTGTTCCAGTCGACATCATGGACGGGGTTGCAAGCTACGTGATTTCAATTCACTTGCAATTTGGAGTGACGGACATGATCACTCACCCGGATCCATTTTGCGATTGAAGAAGTCATGCCCCGGAAGTCACCACAAATCGCCTACGTCACTGGGCACAGCAGATGGGGTTTCCGACACCCAGCTGGACGCTTCGCACAGTCGAGAATCACTACACTTGGACAGCAATCCTCGCTGCGTTCATATTGATTCGGGAAGCGCTGTTCGTGTTGCCAGCGCCTCAAAAACGTGGGTGAAACCCATTGTGCAGACAGCTCGTGCTGGAATTTCTGTCAACACATCAAGTGCTCCCAAATAATTACGGAAACCAATTGTGTTGTTCAATCAGTTGGCAGAAAGCTCGGACGATTGAAAAACTGATCATCTATGCAGATGTTCTTCCTTTGATGCGAAAGAATCGCATCAAGGATCCACTGTTGTTGCAGTGATGTATCAGGCAGCTCCATGCCTAGCGGTGGAAGCAAGTATCAAACCATTCAGTTTTGCCATGACATGTCAGTCTTGAGTGTGCGCTTGCATTTGCTTCATTTCTGCATTCAACAGCTTCATGGAAGTTAGAATCTTGCTAAGTAAACTGTAAGCACTGTTTCGAACCTCATTCCAGACATTTCTGAGAAATTTTCAACCATTCCCGTTAGTTCTGTACCTCCTACGCAGCTTCATCCGACTACGCAGCCAGATGATGATGTTAATTGACAGCATCAGTTTCACAACAATCAAATGCGGCATGAGTTGATCAAACACAGTTGGGGACGGTCTCATGTGTATTGCATGTGCAACTGTTGTATTGCATGAGTGATTCGAAATGCAGTATTGGTTAGTTAATTGCTCACGAGCCGTATCAGTATTCATTGTGCCTCCTAGCAATCCTTTCTGACGGTCAACATCATGGCAGTCAACAGTGCGGACATCAATACTTTGGTTCATGGAATCCCAGCAGAGCAACGCAACTTGCTGTATCGATTACTTCGAGATCATGATAACAAAATCACACTTCGACGTCGGCTTGCTCAACAAACCGCGGTGGATGGTGAGAGTATCGTGTCAAGATACCTCAACCCCAGCGCAGCTTCAGGTTCAGCTTCGAGTTCGGGATCCCACGATCGCTTGCATAACCATCCTTCCTCGAGAACGGCTACGCGGGCACCGAATATCACCACCATCATCGGGGTTTCATCATCAGCATTGGGTGGTTCGCATACATTTGGTGGGCCTGATGTCGATTCACGCTCGTCAAGTACTGAAGCAGCACCATTCCCTCCTCCCCCACCTCCTCCTGTTCCCCCTCCTCCCCCTCTTCTTCCCCTCCCTGCTGGTTTCCTCCCTCCCGATCCTCCTCTTCCTCCCACCTGGAGACCTCGGCACCGTTCCAAGTGTTTCAACGGCACCCGATGCCAAAGCAATTGGTGTGCCACCCTCGCAGAAGAGGAGGCCGAAGGCAAAATCCTCGTCATTTGTTGATCCCAGGGCAAGGTCACGATCCCGGTCACCTTCCTTTCACCTGGAGCAAGTGATGTACTGCTAAATCTGAAGAATCATGTGAATCATGTGCTTGAGTGAGCAAGAGTCAGCAGTGCTATGGTGCCAGGGCATGTGCAAATGCTCTCGCTCTCTCTCTCTCTCTGTACTCCAAGCGCATGGCGTGGCAGCGCGGTAATCAGTGGTGGGGCAGTGGCTGGAGTGACGGATGGCAGGACAACAGCTCATGGACTTCGGATTGGAACAGCAAGCATAGATCGGAGCCCGAAGAACTATCATCTCGGCAGGTCTGCAGCAAGCAGGATTACAGTATTGCCAGTACCTTTCAGCAAAAGGCTGGGTTTCATGGTGCTCATGAAGTGTATGGACTCAATTTCCCGTCGAAGATACTGCCGACGGCGTGGGCTTCATAGCATTCGTTCGCAGGCCGTGATGTTAGAGAGATTCCTCTAGATGAAGTATGCTACAAGGGATTGCCAACCGCCGATACTTGAACGATGCCTTTGCCAGGAGCATCAAAGAAAGTGTCTCTACTCAAACACTATACTATACTACAGCCACTCGCGAAAGCAAGCTTGACCTAGACGCAAACTTCTGCCAAAAGCACAACATCCACATCGACAAGAGCAGAACCGAAGCAAACCTCAAAAATCTTCAGACCCAAGCATTGGCTGAGTGGGTCAGTCAGCAGCTAAGGCAGTTTCACCAGCCCGAAGATGCAGCCCCATCAGCATCAGCATCCTCCCCGAAGGCAAACGAAAAACACCGCCCAGCAGCAGCACCAATCCACCTGCCAAGAAGCCCAAGCCCGCACTTCCAACCAGCGATGGCCCCCCTCCCCCTCCACCCACCAACTCACCACCGACCGACTTTCTATCCAAAGCACTTACCTGTGACAACCAACCTGTAAACAGAATACTTGCCTCAAACGCGCCTTCAACAACTACTTCAGCAGCCGTCAACAGGATTGACAAGCTACAGCTCGAGAAGAAGATTAAGGTCCAGCTTGACAGAGCCCTCAAAGGAATCACCAAAGCCATCAAAGACCCCCCCCCAAAGAAGAACTAGCGCAACTTCCAGATCAAGCAGCAGCATACACGTTGCCCGTATCCAGCGCAACCAAAGCAAAGAACCCGGAGCTACTCAAGATCATGTGCGCAGCCATTGCTCTAGTCTTGCTGAATGACTATGTGACCAACTGTGCAGTACTACCAGTTTGCGTCGTCATGCACTTCGGCAGTCGGCAGCTCTGCACTCTTTTGCAGTTGTTAGTTTAAAGGCAGCCTTACATGAACCTAACTTTCGCGAGTTTCGGTTGACATTGCGTGGACTTGCAGCGACTACATCATTGTGGTCTACAATATATGTGGCTGATTCTTCCACCAGAGTTCGTATGTGGCGCCATCGTTTTCTTTAAGTTCATGGTCTCCAGATCTGTTTAAGCAGTGTGATTGAGGCTTTTCTTGATCCGTACAGCCCATCCAAAGCCAAAGCAATGATACTTCCAGTTCTTGTTCACGAGACATTCACAGGCAACGTTCGCACCTGGCTTCGTCGAATTGTCATTGATCGTAAGGATTTCCTTACACCGTTTCATTTGCCCATTTGCAGCGTCGTTGCAGGGAAGTTTCCCACAATGGAGAACAAACTATACTCGCATTTCAAACGGATGAGTCGGTTCTCTTGGCACCAAGCCCCTGAGAATGCCTTGTCGCCAGCTACGTCAGCAACATCCAGAAAAGCAGTGGAACAAACGACCAAAAGGGAATGTGCCATAGTTGATGATGGGACGTGCCCCAGGAAAGTTCTTCTTGGCTTTAAGAAGCGCACGTATGATGTGGGAACTTCAGTGTGCTGTTGGATTGCCCATCTGTACTTCTTGAGCCAGGGCTTGCTGGCAATGTCGGAAAGATGTCCTTGCGCGGCCGTGGGAGTCATGTTGCGTTTGTTGTAGACCTTGGGATCACCAAAGGTTTTTCTGAGTACATGGACGGACGACGAGATACAATGACCCGGAGGCAACGTGATCTGTACCATCGATGGTGGTTACTGAAAGTTCTGGATGTCCATGACGAAAGATGTGTTCCCCAACTCGTTTGGCAATGCCACCTTGCCACAGATGTTCCGTGCTCTTCATACCTTTTCTGTGGTGCACTCCTGTTGAGCATCATTTGGTACACTTTGACCAGGATCTTGTTGGTTCTTTCACTTCGATACCGGCTCATCGTATCGAAGCTTCAGTACAGTGGATGCTCACACGGTACAAAGAGATCCACAATGACCAGGACGACATGGTCTTTACAGTTTTCCCCAAAGTGAAAGACGTGCTTTTTCGCATTGTCGGGACTCGAAACGAGCACTTCGTGGACGAGCTTTTCACATTCGATTGGGCGACATTCTGCCACTTTGCATGCTCGCGCTACAAACTTCGCTCTTTACGCGAATGCAACAGATTTTTCAGCAAGTTCGTGGCAGCGCCATTGGCAATCAGACTTCACTGGTATTTGCAGACATTGCAGTCAGTTTCATCGAACAACAATGGTGGGTTCGCAATCAACATGTCATCCAACCTCATCGTGATCTCTTTTCCATATTCCGGTATGTTGACAACAGGTTAGTCGTCTACTCGGATCAGATTGCACATTGCCATGACATGGCTTTAAGAGTTGCGTCAGCTTCATTTTTACGAACATCCTGTTGAGCTTGAAGAAGTTGAATCTGGGGAGTTTCTTGGTACTATACTGCATCCAGCGGAGAGACGTCTTGCATTCATAGTGCCTGACAAGCAATTTCAGTTAAACCTTTGAGTTCTGCTGGAAGTGATGGCCATAAACTGGCTGCAGTCAACAGCAGAATATGCCTCGCTTCGCGATGCCCTTATCCTCAGTCTCAAACAGACCAAGATGTGCAAGCAATCGGTCGCCGAGAGTATCCAGCACAGAAGATCCTGCACATTCGGAGGAAGTTTCTCCGAGGCTAAAAGCATCCACGCGCAGCCAAGTCTTTTGAATGCAATACATACTCCTATATGCGCACCCTTGAATCGTATTACCCCTTCGCGGGGAGCTGTGTGTGTAAATCCTTGAAGCCAAGGCCAATGCTGACAGTATATTTGAAAGGAAAAAGCAGGGGGCACGGCGCCACAGTTCGAGCCGTGCCCACGAAGCTACGAACTGTGGTGGAAGCACTCAAAAGCGCCTGAGTGTGTACCTGCATTCGGATGAGCCAATGGGCCCCCTGTGGCACTGGACCAACCAACTCTAGAGTGAAGGGATGCAGACAGTAGGCCACGAGTGTAGGAACACGTGCTAACCCATGTTCGGTTTCAAATCATGTGTGTGTGTGTGTCTGTGTGTGTGTGTGTCTCTGTGTGTCTGTGTAACTCATTTCCCCGCAGACCTCTAATGACTCTAATGGGCACGAACATGGCAGCTGAATCTTTCAAGCCTGAACCCAAGCATTGCAGGGACGATGATCGCGACCGCTCTCGCAAGTATGGTGGAAGGCACGGAGCATCTCTCCCTGCAGGAGAATGATGAAGTTACCGGGCAAAGCTGTCTCTAGAGTGGCATAAGCATGGGACCCTCAAGCTTTTTCAGAGTGTTTGTCGTTAATGTGCGAGGTTCTCGTGCATCGCTGTTTACACAAAGCCTGACTGTTGTTTGTTGGTTGTGGTGCTTGATCGACTTTCTGTCTCTTCGGCCGCGGAGATGGCCGCAAGTCTTTCCACAATCCGCAACCCACCAGTTTGATCCTGACGTGGCTTGCGTTTAGGAAGTCGGAAGGTCGGGAGATTATCTCAGTTTGGCTCCTGAACTCCGTTCGAACTAGATAGCTACCAGTAGCTACCAGTCCTTCTTGTACATTCGCCGATTAGCCTCCTAGTTTGTTGAACATTGAACCCTTTTCCCGCTCTTTCTATGTCTTTTATTTTTCTCCCGCAAGCGACTGCCTGAGCCAGCTTTTGCATACCAGTCAGCTGTTCGCCCTTCAGAAGGTCCCGCGGAGGTGACAGCCGCGACCGCCGAAGTGACCGCCGCGATGTGCGTGTCTAGCCTTGGAGTCGGAACGACTGATCCTTCCTTTACTTGTGCTTGGGATGGTGGAAGGGGACTACACAAATCTCCTCGACAGCGAATGCCATCCCTTCATTCCTCTGCAATCCCTGTCTCACAGTGGCAAAGGCAGCTCTCGCTACGATCGTGATCGCAGCCCCCGTCGAGATGTCGGACCGGGTGGAAGGTCAGGGTTCTTTCGCTGAGATTCTTTTGGAATTAGGGCTAGTTAGTGTTTGTTTTCGGTCAACACTTGGCAACTTGTACGTACTGCTTGAAGACTGACGCCTCAAGGTGTGCGTGAGCATCAAAGATGGAGTCTGCGGAGCAGTTTTCGACTACGTTGTACCTGTGCTGTCAGGTCTGACTTTGAGTCGCTGTTCGGGTGTAATCCTTGTCCTTGAACACTAATCTATATAAGTCGGGCTTCCTATTGGAGCGTCCCACCTCAGCAAAGAACCTCTAATGAGGACTGTCACGCTTCTTACCTTCTAAAGCACGCGATAACCGGGCTGGGTCGCTGAGGGCTGCGGAGCTGACTCAAGCCAATGTGCTGAGACCTCTTCCCTGCAACTGCCACCGCCCTGCACAGGCCAAGCGGCAACTGGGGCGGAGTGCCTTGACCAATCATGGCCACTGGTGGGAGGTGGTGGTGGTGGCATGGTGGGCCTTTCCGTGGCATGTGGATAGCTCTGGAATGCATGGTGGCATGGCATGGCATCCTGCATCCGCAATCCTCCGTGTCCTTACAGATGTCTTAGCCCCTCCTTCTTCCAAATCTCGCACCCCTCTGTTTGGAGGTCTTGCGCAGTGGTATGGCATGTGTGGAATTGCATGGTGTGGCATGGTGTGGGTTTTCCTGGAGCCGGAAAGCTGTCGCTTAAGCCACGACGGGCACAAATACTGGAGTGGATTGAACTAGTGAACCGGCCTTCTTGGTCGCCTGCTTTTTTGGATGGCAGGAATGGCCTTGCTGCTTGGAGCTTCGAGCATCACGCATGCTAGCTTTTGGCCGGTTGGGCACTTCGGGCGCTTTTTCAATCTGCCGCGTCGCTCAGGATTGGGAGTGTGAGAAGTGTGGCTGCAACAATTTTGCCCGTAGAAACGAATGTTTCAAGTGCGGCGCACCCAAGCCAGCCTCCTAAGGAATGTCTCACCCGGCGGTGGCGGCCCGCAGAAGTGTACATAAGTATATATACCAGACGAAGTCAGGCGGTAGTTACGAAAAGTTGCAGCATTGTCGGATGTAGATACTATACTGTACTACTGCAGCAAGCACTCCGATCTTGGTGAAGTGTTGGCGTAAAGGAAACTGGTCAGTGTCGAGCGGGGCTGACGTTTCAGAAAGGTTCATGAAGCCACGGGTCCCATTGGTCCCACTCTCCTTGGAGCCAACGAGGCTGAAGCCTCGCCTCATCGAGGGGTTTCCGCAGCCCTATGGCCCATCTCCCACTGTCCCTGTCAACGTGTACGTTGCCGGGTCCGAGGTGAGACTTGGTGGCATCCGAGGGGGCCGGGGGTTGGGGGGGGGGGGGGCCTGCTTGGAGTCTTGCACCACCCACACACACACACACCCACCCACCCACCCACCCACCCACCCACCCACCCACACCCACCCACCCACCTACCCACCCACCCACACGCACACGCACACGCACACGCACACGCACACGCACACGCACACGCACACACGCTGCCTCAAGGAAATACCAGAGCAATGCCTCGCGACGATTCCGGCACCTTGCCTGGATTGTCGATGCGGACTTTTGAAGCGCCGAGAGCGCTCGGCCAGAGCTGGAAATTCGGGTTTACTCGTTCTTTGGTTACGACTGTTCGGAGATCTTCGCTTCATTCATTTCCAAAATCCTTCTTGGGAGTCCGAAACTAAGCTGTTTGTCGTGACGACGGGCAGTTGCCGAACTTCTACATACCCTTCACCTCCCCAAAGGCTTGCAGTCCTCCACAGCTAGCATTCCAGCAACGACTCTCAGGTGATCGGCGCGACAGCCGAGCTCCTGACCGAGCACCAAGGTACTCTTGGGTTTGCGACATGCGTGTCGAGGGCCCTTGCTTTCCATCATTGCACGTACCCCAGGCAGTTTCGAACCCCTCCGCTGGTCTAAATGAGCATTGCTTTCAGCCCTCTGGACTCGGTTGAGAGTGCATGTTTTGTTTTCTGACGTTTGTGAGCCAGAAATGTTCTGTTTGGCATTGACGTTGGGCAGCAACACACAGCAATGGTGCCTTTATACCGTACCTAATCATCCATTCACGGCATCTGTTTTAGGGAAGGGAGCCCTAAGGAACAAGATAACTTTTTGCAGTGGCTGTGAAACCTTGGCCTCTCGGGCTTTGGTGCAAGCTGCCGATGGAGCTAGTCGCCAAGGAGACATGAGTTATGAGTTTCGGTTACTTCGGGGGCAGACCAACCTCTCTCGTTCTGGTGGTCGGCAAACTGTGCAAAGAAATGCCGCTGAAGCAAATACGGATCGAATCTGACCCTCACCAAGATACCAGCTGACCGGTGTATCCGACGCGTGCTGAGAAGAGGAAAAGGATTCGAGAGCAGAATCAATACGATTCACACATCTAACTCCAGGTTCGTAAAGCAAAGCATCCCCTGTGTGTTCACATCACGCCCGAATATTGAAGCTGCGGTCTTCCACCTGTAGACTCGAGACAACCAGAGGTTTCTCCGCCAATTCACGTTTGGAATCGTCTAGGCTGTAAGTAACCTAAATTGTTGGAAGTCGTCAATTGGCAGCGGCATCGCGTCAAAGCTTGAGTTCGAGGTGATTTCGCATTGAGCTTGAATCTGAATCAGCGCTGAGCGGTAGGCCACTGCAAGGGATAGGGTTGTTTGCCAGGTACAGCTCACGCCGACCAAGTCCCCGTCGAGCAAGCCCCACACGAAAAGACAGCCGTGATCGAGGCACAGAATGTCCATACACGATCGACGACCCTGAGCATTCAAAAGGAGAAAAACGACCGACAGTGGACACAGTAGGTTCCACTGGGCATGGGGGGCACTAGCTTCAGGTAAGTTGGAGCAGATCCGAGGCGGAGAAGCTGAGTACAGCAATATCTACAGCTGCATGGTTGGCACAGTCGCTGCTGGATAGTTCCTTACAGAGTAACTAGTAGTAACTAGAGAGCACAGCATCAACGGGACAGTAGATGTCTAGGACTGGTTCTGTCGCATTGCGAGAGGCATTGAACACTTTCAGGACCGTGTGATAAGTCTGAATGTCAACTCGGTAGCAGAACGATAGCGAGATCGAGAATGCCACTTTGCCTCGTAAAGCCTTGAGTGATAGCAGAACCATAGCGGGAGCGAGAATGTTGAAACAGACCATGGTGAACCCAGAACTACTTTGCCTTGCAAAACATTGAGTGCCAGCTGTTTGCACAAAGCGGCTGCAGAGTCTTGGGGTTCCAAGCAGACACGAAGCGCCTCTGTGAAGGCCAGAATCCAGCTAGCTCCTTTTAACGAGGTTAACTGACAAGCCCACTGTGCTTCACTGTCTGACTGTCTGCCCAAACATGATAAAGGTTGCTTGAAATGTTCTGGGTGTTGCTTAATTAGTATAAATAAGTAGTTAACTTAATTAAGCACATAGATTAGCATAATTAGAATAAGTTGCTAACGAGTTAGCTGACACCAAAACAAAAGAAATAGATCTTTAAAGCTTTGCAATCACAACAAGAAAACCAAACACTGAAGAAGGATAACGACAACATGACAGTAGGAAAGGTCAATATCTAGATGTTGACTTTGGCCCCCGGGATCCCCTCCAGGATGTAGATGATTTAATAGTATTTAAATTATGTACATTGTTCGATTCTCCCCCTGAAACCCTTGGAAACTAAAACCTGGTGTATTTGGCAGCTGGAACCATATGTCTAGCTGCCAAATAGACCGGTTTCAGTCTCCAAGGGATTCCAGGAGGAGAATTAAATGATTGAAATGATTTGAATCCTGGGGGCGGGGGGTCCTGGAGGGTCCCGAGCCCCCGGAATGAAATAATTTAATTTAAATCCGGAGGCCTCCCCCAATATTTAAACGATTTAGTTCCAGAGGTTCGGGACGCCGGGACCCCCCCCCCCCCCAGGATTTTATTCTTTTGAACGATTAACATTATTTAATTCGGGCCGAAATTTTCATAACTGAGATCCTGGGGAGGGGGTACCCAGGCCCCCCGGAATTAAATCATTAAAATAATGGGGGAGGCCTGGGACACCCTGCAGGATTTAAATTGATTGCAATATTTAATTCGGGCCGGGATTAACAACTTAATTAATTCAAATCCTGGGAGAAGGCGTCCCGAGGGGTCCCGAACCACCGGAATAAAATAACTTGAATTATTTATGCATTGGTGGAGGCCTCGGATTTAAATTATGTAAATCATTTAATTCGGGCCGAGGTGTAAATAATGTAAATAGCGTAAATAATATAAATCCTGGGGAGCGGGGTCCCGGGAAATTCCGAACCTCCGGAATTAAACAATGTAAATATTTGGGGATGCCTCCGGATTTAGATTATTTAAGCTATTTAATTCCCGGGGCTCGAGACCCCTCGCGCGCAGCAAATTTTGCCAACCGATTCTTGGGCAAAAGTTGCTGCGATTGGCGTGCTCGTGGTTACGTCTAAATCAGGAAACAGCCAATCGCGGTAATTTTGCCAACCTATTCTTGAGCGAAACTTACTGCGATTGACTTGTTCCTGGTCATATTTAAGTTAGGAAACAGCCGATAGCAGCAAACTTTGCCAGCCGATTTTTGGGCAAAATGGGACCACAGATGAAGGGATGAGGGGACACTCCGTGCAGTTGAAGGTTTCCCAGAGCACCGTCACCCAAAGGAAAGCCCTGGTCTTTAATATTCATAGAAAGCCTGGCATATGTAAACATATAGTTCCAGATGCCAATAATTAGGCCCCTATTTAAGCCGGCCACGGGGCGGAGGGGGCGGGGGGTGCGGGGGGTGTCCATGGTCGAATGCATTCTGAGCACACAGCATCCAGTGCCCAATGCGTCTGGTTTCTGATTCAGCCGTTCTGGTTTGGTGTTGTTTCCGAATCAGCCGTTTTCGTTTCCGATTCAGCCGTTTGGTTTCTGAATCATGGCTGGCTTCTGATTCAGCCGTTCTCGTTCTGGCTACTGATTCAGTCGTTCTGGTTCCCGAGTTTTCCGCCGACCGCGCTTTGTTCGGATGCCTGAACATGGGACATGACATAGGTCAGCTGAAAGGGATTCCGACAGCTCCCGAGTCTTTTACTCGCTCACTTCTCTTGTCCTCGAAGCGTTCTCTTCGGGCTCCACAGCACTAGATGAAGCTCCGTCTAATTATTCATGCAAAGTGACCTCGGCTCTGACACAGGCAGAGGAAGAGACTACGAGGCATGGTTGCACATAGACCAATCCACTGAAGGCTTTGAATCCTGACCTGGCCGAGCTGCTAACATCCTCGCCTGCATTGAGACTGCACATTTCACGATTCCTTGTTTCTGTTTAGGCGCAGGTGGTGCATGTCCGCCCGGTCTAATGAAGACCTCAGGACAAGCGCGACCGAAGCTACGACGACAGGGATGCAGACCGTGGCTCCAGGAGAGATGACAGGAGGTGGCTTGAGGGGTTGCAAGTGGCCGTGGGCAACAAAGCGTAGGATTTGCTGTTGTGTCGGGGGCGTCCACTGCAAGCTTGGCAAAGAACCCCTGAACCCAAGCCACAACAGGGACTACGACCGTGATCGCTCTCGGAAGTATGGCGGAAGGCACGCACCAGCAAGGACTTCGGGCAAACATCTGCGTCTCGGCAGAACAGTTCACTCAAGCTCAAGAGCGACAGGTCCCGTGGACGCGACAGCCGTGACCGGCGAAGCGACCGTCGCGATGACCGTGCCCTCTCAGAAATCCTGCAGAGTCGTTAGATGGCTCTGCAAAGTCCTTTTGGAAAGTGAACACCCTGTGTTGCTCAGGTGGGTCTCGTTACGACCGTGATCGTAGCCCTCGACGGGCCTTCGGACCAGGTGGAAGGTGGGGAGTGCCTGGTCTATTGGTTGTTGTTGTGCTGGTCATGACCTGGAAGATGAGTGTGACGACTCGACGAAAGTTTGTCCATATCTGGTTTTGTGGTTTGGCTTGTCAAAATTTGTATGCTTTTGTGTGCTATTTCCTTCTGGGTGCACAAGTGTAACGTTTGTTGCCGTATCTGAGCCCACATCTCGAAGCTTAATGCGAATCACTGTTCATCCGGGTCTCTCAACTGCCAGTAGTGCCCTGGAGGCGCAGCGGCAACTGGGGCGGAGTGCCTTGACCAATCATGGCCACTGGTGGGAGGTGGTGGTGGCATGGTGGACCTTTCCCTGGCATGTGGATAGCTCTGGAATGCATGGTGGCATGGCATGGCATCCTGCATCCAAAATCCTCCGTCTCCCCACAGTCCAGATGTTGTAGCCCCTCCCACATGTCGACCTGGTCACCCATGAGTCTCCCGCACCCCTCTGTTTGGAGGTCTTGCGCAGTGGCATGGCATGTGTGGATTCGTATGGTGTGGCATGGTGTGGGTTTGGCTGGTGCCGGAAGTTCCTGGATGTTTGCAGTCGCTTAAGCCACGACGGGCAGAAAAACTGGAGTGGGATTGAGGTTTAAGCGGAGTAGTTTGGAACTGGCACTTCTTGGTGGCCTGGGTTGTGGATGGATGGCAGGAATGGCCCTGCTGCTTGGAGCTTCGACCAGAGGTCCTGGGCTTTTGAATCCGTCCATGATGCTCAGGATTGGGAGTGTGAGAAGTGCGGCTGCAACAACTTCGCGCGTAGAAACGAGTGTTTCAAGTGTGGCGCAGCAAAGCCCGCCTCGACCTCGTAATTGCGATGGCCCATGACACAATGACAGTGTACATAAAACATTTTGGACGAAGCCAGACAATCTCTACGAAAATCGTGTCGGTGGCCGAGGGGACGCTCCAAGTCAAAAGGTTCATCCAGGTGAGTTCCTCATGCTTCTTGCTGAGGGGTTTGAGGTTGGAATTGCTGCGCTGCACCCGCAGCCATATGGCCAAGATCCTGCGGTCCTTGTCAACGTGTACGTTGCAGGGTCTGGGGTGAGACTTGGTGGCATCCGAGGGGTGATTCTCGCTCGGAGTCTTACTGTATCCGACTGAGAGTGCGCCACGAGGAGCTTTTGCACCACACACTGCCTGAAGGAAGTACCAGAGCAATGCCTCGCGACGATTCCGGCACCTTGCCTTGACACTGGATTGTTGGTGCGGGACTTTTGAAGCTTCGAGGCTTGTGCTCTTGAGCTTTCACGGCTTGGGCTTGGGCTCGGCAAGAGTTGGAAATTTGGGTTTACTGGTTCTTTGGCGACTTCGCAGATCTGTGGATTATGCATTGTTAAAACATCATTTTCTGTTTTGTGCTCGTTCAAACTCCTCCACACCAAGGCACAAACTAGTCCGAGCAAGTCAAAGACCCGCAACCGACAATCTACGATGCTACGCCCAGGTGAACGACGAGACAGCCGAGAGCGCGACCGAGCGCCAAGGTACTGTGGGGCTTACCAGATTGGTTGTGCCTTAGGTCTCGGGGGGCTTCTTTAAAGGAAGATTGACAGTTTCGACCCCACCATTCGAGACGTGCGGGCTCCGGACTTTTTGGAAGATAGTGTGCACAGGTCGTTAGCACAAACCAACAGATGCCGAACAGGGCTCAAGCTCGCTCCAATCTTACAGCCGAGTTCAAAGCTCGTCGGAGACCCTCCTGAAGCTTGATCGTCCAGAATTGCTTGAGATCACATTGAGATCTGTAGCAATCCCACTGCAAATCATGCGTACTGTATCAGGCGCCGTGGAGCAATGCTTCAATGCTCCACTTCTGTTCTGATAACTGCGGAAGAATCAGCGATCCCACTCCCGCTCCCTCAGGTTTGGTTCAAGGACGGACATGGTTCAGGGACAGACAAGTTGCTGCTGCACAGCGTTGCCTGCTACAAGCGGTTGTCAGGTACAGCCCACGCCGACCAAGTCCCCGAGGAGCAAGCCCGCCGCGGAAAGACAGCCGTGATCGAGGCGCAAAGTGTCCCCGGAGCTTGAGGCTTCGTCCATTTAATCTCTACGACCACCGGATTCGAGCCGTTCAGGGTCCTGCTCTTCGGTTCAGCGCAGAAAACTCTTCGTCTTGCTTAGCTGTGTGGAGAAAAGACGTGATGTCAGCGGAAGTAGCCAATCGGGAACTTGAGCCGTGATCCAAAGCTACACCCTTGCTCTTGCGTAGGCAGGGGTCGAGACTACGAGGCGTGGCTGCAAATAAACCGACCCGCTGGAGCACGTTTTGCAACGTTCTGAGACACCATGTAGATCTCGTCTAGAATTGGCAGACCCGACTTAAGGACAAGCGGGACCGCAGCTATGACAGGCCGGTGTTGGAGTTCCATTATCAGCTTCGCTAGCCTTCAAATCTAGGTGGCAAAGCCAAAACTCCGAAACACATGGGAAGGCAGCCTCAAACTCCTGACAGGGATGCAGACCGTCGCTCCAGGAGAGATGACAGGAGGTGGCTTGAGGGGTTGCAAGTGGCCGTGGGCAACAAAGCGTAGGAGTTGCTGTTGTGTCGGGGGCGTCCACTGCAAGCTTGGCAAAGAACCCCTGAACCCAAGCCACAACAGGGACTACGACCGTGATCGCTCTCGGAAGTATGGCGGAAGGCACGCACCAGCAAGGACTTCGGGCAAACATCTGCGTCTCGGCAGAACAGTTCACTCAACCTCAAGAGCGACAGGTCCCGTGGACGTGACAGCCGTGACCGGCGAAGCGACCGTCGCGATGACCGTGCCCTCTCAGAAATCCTGCAGAGTCGTTAGATGGCTCTGCAAAGTCCTTTTGGAAAGTCAGAACCACGCAGATGTTACTGCCGGACCCTGAACACCCTGTGTTGCTCAGGTGGGTCTCGCTACGACCGTGATCGTAGCCCTCGACGGGCCTTCGGACCAGGTGGAAGGTGGGGAGTGCCTGGTCTATTGGTTGTTGTTGTGCTGGTCATGACGTGGAAGATGAGTGTGACGACTCGACGAAAGTTTGTCCATATCTGGTTTTGTTGTTTGGCTTGTCATTTCCTGCACTTGCAACCCGTTATCCTATGTATGTGGGCCTATTTTTCTTCTGAGTGCACAGAGTGTATCGTTTGTTGCCGAAGTCTTGCATGTCCTTGTGTCCTTGTGTAACTCACTTGAGCCCACCCCTGGAAGCCTAATGCGGGTCACTGTTCATCCGGATCTCTCAACTGCCAGTAGTGCCCTGCAGGCCTAGCGGCAACTGGGGCGGAGTGCCTTGACCAATCATGGCCACTGGTGGGAGGTGGTGGCAGCATGGTGGGCGTTTCCGTGGCATGTGGATAGCTCTGGAATGCATGGTGGCATGGCAGGGCATCCTGCATTCGAATCCTCCGTCTCCCCAGGGTCCAGATATTGTAGCCCCTCCTTCCAAATCTCGCACCCCTCTGTTTGGAGGCCTTGCGCAGTGGCATGGCATGTGTGGATTCGTATGGTGTGGCATGGTGTGGGTGTGACTGGTGCCGGAAGTTCCTGGATGTTTGCAGTCGCTTAAGCCACGACGGGCAGAAAACTGGAGTGGGATAGTTTGGAACTGGCACTTCTTGGTGGCCTGGGTTGTGGATGGCTAGCAGGAATGGCCCTGCTGCTTGGAGCTTCGAGCAGCACGCATGGTAGCTTCTTCTCGTGTTCTGTCAATGCTGAGGATTGGGAGTGTGAGAAGTGTGGCTGCAACAATTTTGCGCGCAGAGATGAGTGCTTCAAGTGCGGCGCAAAGAAGCCATCCTGATGAGTTAAGTCTCAGGGCCACACGGCCACACGTAGATGCCCCTGCGGCGGGTATGCAATCGAAACGGAGGTGTCTTGTGCATCTCAACACTGCGTTTGCATCATCCCTTGCCTTTGGCTGTGGTGCATAGCCACATGGCCGAGAGGCTGGTGAAAGCCGGTGGTGCAGCATCGGAGGGATCGCTGCAAGAGGTGTGTTTCGTGCAGCGTGCAGTTCTTTAAATGTTGGGTTGCGTGCTGGTTAGATGTATAGAGGTGTCCTGGGTTTAGGCTTGTTTAGCTGCTTCGTAATGACTGCTTCTAGAACGTGATGCTTGTGGCATCCTGTGATGCTGCAACAGTACAAATGTTCAAAGCATGCTCGTGCAAATTAGCTCAGGCACGTAGACTTTGCCTTGTCGTGACAGATTACGACGCGGCTTCAAAAAAAGCACGCCTTTCCTTTTTCCTATAGCACGAGTCTTGTGTCTTGTGTGCCGGACTTCGCGGGTGGAGAGCCAAGGGTAACCTCGCGCAGCCCCTGCTGACCCAATGATGTAAACGTGCCGAGTGAGGAGCTTCGTTCTTTGGGCTCTGGCGCTGTCCCTGCTGGGATTTTGGTGAGACCCCAAGATGAGTTTCGGGGCTGCTTCGGACAAGAAACGCTTGGCTTGCCTTGAGACTTGAGGGATTCGTGATGCGTCTATCGGGTGGAACCAGCTTCGGATGTTTGCGCTTGGCCGGCTTTGGCCCGTCTCATCGCAACTTCTCCCGAAGCCGCTCCCTTAAGGCCTCTGCCGCAGGCTGGCGAAATTGCGGTAGGTGCGTGATGTGGTCCGTAGCAGCACAAGCTCCAATCCGCAATCCGAGAGAAGACCCAGAAGGCCCAGAGCCGCTCAGGTGGTGGCTTTGCTACAGGAGGCGAGCCCCAGTCCCCGCCCTCAGCCAAGGCATGGTTAGGTTGCCGGGCTGCAGGGTGCGACAGGTCACGACAGGTACGAACTTCAAAGCGCGAGTTTGTCAACAAGACATGCCATGTTAGCCCATGGTCACCTCATCCTCTGTCAGCACAACCGACCCCCTAAGATCCGACACCGGTTTCCAGAGGCACAAACAGCCAGGTGGAGGAAGCCTTGACAGCTTTATTTTTCTGCTTTCACTGCATCAGGAAATGCCTGCTTGCCCCTAGTGCGCATGCTCTTGTCGCCGCCCTCGCAGAGAGCCATTCAAGCGAGATTTCTGAGAAAGTGGGAAGGGGAGACAGGATCTGTCTTAGAGCCATGTCGTCCGAGGGTGTCACTGTCACTGGTGCCGAGGAGAGCCCAACTGGAACGGCCCAAGCCAAACTTAGGCATCTTCGCCGCAAGAACCCCGATTCCCCGCAGCTGGAAGGAGTACCCGGTGTTCGAGTCGTTCGACGACTACGAGCTGGACGAGAACTTGCTGCGTTCGGTTCCCAGTGCCGGGATCAGTGGGGCAGGCTTTTTCTGGCAGTTTAAGGTTCAGGTGCCAGTTAGGAGCCTTGACACAACTTAAAAACCCCAAGTGCCCATCAGTCTTAAACCCAATCAACTTCAGGCGGCATTTATTCGTACGGCTTCGAGAAGCCAAGTGCGATTCAGCAGCGCACGGCCCTCGGCCCTACTCTGCTTCAAGCCTTTCGAGTCTAGGATTTACAGCTCAGGGTTTTGGGTTTGGGCCAGTTTTTTGGTGTGGCTGTAGGGGAGAGACATCTAGGTCGCGTGGATCTCAGTTCTGGATCGCCAGCTCTGTGTGAGATTATGTCAATGTGTTCGCTTCCCATCAGCCACCCATAAGCCTCCTTAAGTCCTTTTGACGTTTCAAACACTCAACAGTATCGTTCTTACGGCCTCATGACTGTAGTAATCCAGACCTCCTTAGGATTCCATCAACTGCAGTCTTCATGTTGCTTCTTGGATGGTGAACCTCAAAGCTCACATACGAAGGTGGCATCAAGCCTATTCTCGATGGTCGTGACACCATCGGGCAGGCTCAGTGCGCATCTCAGAGCTTGGGAGTGGGCAACATACTTCGCAGATCGCATCCGACCCCCTAAATTCTGAAATCCTGAGCGGACATATGTAGCTACCGTGCCTGGGATCAAGAGCAGCGCCCAAACGAAACCTTCGAGCCGTCCCAAGTGAGGTCTGGAACGGGCAAGACGGCAACCTTTGCCGGGCACTGAGCCTCTGATCCCGGTGTTGAGTTGGGGCCGGGATCAGTCTTTGCAGAAATCACTAGGGCTGGTCAACTACTGCATCCAAACTGCGGGATTCTGGGATTGTCCCAGAAGCTGCAGCAACAACAGTTTTCAACATTCTTGGCCACTAGTTCGATCTTGTGGGCGAGGTCATCGGCTCGCTCCAGCGCATCAATTACGGCGAACGCCACACACAGGAGCACCTTCTGCACCGTATGAGTTTCAGATGTACTGTGCTCGGGACGTACTGTGAAATGAAGGGGTTCGTTCCCCTGAGTTCAGCTGTCGCGTGGGGATGGATAGATGCCTGTTCCGGATTCGGGTACTCCAGCAGTTAAGCTTCTGCAGCTGTTGCACCAAGCTCGTCTTCAGCTCGTTAAGGAATCCGGAAGTAAGACGCTATGTGCTGGCCCTGCAGATTGAAGCTTTCAAGATCAAGCTCACAGCGTTGTGATGCGGCCAACGTTGTCCTGCATACTTTGTACTAGCATCACCTTGGGTACCTTGGAAGTGTGCCCTTGGGGCACCTGGTCGTGTGCGCAAACCCGCAGGCCTTGATCTTGGCACCCACACGCGAACTGGCCAACCAGCAGCTCTGGCAGCAGTGGGGTCAACCAGCGAAAGGGATTTCGAGCTTTGGGCTGAGGGGTGCATGTTCCGGAGCAGCCCGTTAAGCCGCGTGATTGCTGAAGTACACAGTAAGGTTGGTTGGATTGGGATCTCATGGGACCTAACTTCTTGTGTGTACCTCGAATTGCTTCCCAGGATAAGATGATCAAGAGCTTTGTGTGTGTGTGTGTGCGCTTCCGAAAGAAGCGAAAAGTTTAGCATAGGCTAAGGGGTTTCCGAATGGCGTCCACTCCACGACATGTATATCTCCATACAACAGTCACAGCACAGGACATGGAGTAAGGATTGGAGTTTAAGCTTATTCTGAGGGTGTCACTTTTCATGCTGCCAACCCTATGTGTCCTCCTCACGCGACTTCACAGTCGGTAAGTCTAAGCCAGTTTCTTCATGTTCCCGTTAGCTATCAGCTATCGCTCAAGGATGTCCAAGGTATAACAAGGCGTAGAAGGTGTCGAGGAACGCTTGATACTCGGCAGCCAACTCTCAGTGACAAGACTGCAAGACAAGCTGCTGTCCCTGCCGAAGAGTGCACCATTGCAAGAAGCCAAGGATCTACAAAGTTGCCTTGGCTCTGGGCGACTACTTGAAGGTGTGTATAGAGGAAGTAGTTGCCGGATTAGGTTTTGAGGCTCGGGGTCTTGCGCCTGGTGGTGTTGGTGGGTGTGTGTGGGTAGATTCGTAAGATCTGCATTCGGGATCTTTGGAATGAGACTGGGCATGCACATAACATCCTGCAGAAGGTTCATATTTAGTTGTTGCCGGTTGCGATGTTGACGCTTTATGGCACTTGGCTGCTTCCGTCTCAGACTGCGCAGGCTGAATACATTGAATGTCGACAGTTCCCCAGCTATCCATACTGTCGGCATCAATGTAACAAAACGCATCACAAGAGGACATTGTTTCTTTCAGGCCACACCGCGTATGTTGCAGCGGATCACGACTGAAGTTTCTCCAGAGCATTCATGGAGTTGTGCTACTGCCCCAAAGGGAGCAAACCACAGCATCTACGAGCCGCAAAAGTCGTCGGACCCCTGGTGGTTGCCAAACCTGACCTGTTGGGTCATCAAGTCGAGTGCGTCGGGAATGCCACTTGGCATTGCCGGCAGCTTGACAGCTTGTCGTTCACGGTTCCACCCGACACTGGAGCTGTGAGGACTGGCTTAGCTGTTTCGCAATGACTTGAAACTGCTGCTTGGGCAGTCACCTGAAGCTACGTCGCTTGAAGTTCACATGTTGCCGTCAACCCTCTGTCAGGAGTTCATGGAGTAGGCAGAAATACTTACTCGTTGTGTGTAGTCAAGCACAAGCTTTAGTTCTAGTGGCCATGGTCAAAAACTAATTTGTCGAATAGCCCAAGCTCTCTTAAACCTCAGAACCCCAAACCCTGAAACCCCTCGTGCCGTAAACCACAGAATTTCAACCCCATTTCCAGTTTCAGTTCTACTTCCCAGAAGCCCCATGGCAGGTCAGGGCTCACGCTTGCATTGGAGGCCGGCTCGAACCTATAAGGCGTTATAATAAGGCTTTCTCGTAGGGGTTTGTATGGAATGGATAGTTTTTATGTGTACCAGGCAGTGCTTTGCCAAACAACAGTCACATAGCAGCACGAAGGTGAGTGTGTCTCTGTCTGTCTGCCTGTCTGCCTGTCTGTCTGTCTGTCTGTCTGTGTGGGTAGGTGGGTAGGTGGGCAGGTGGGTAGGTAGGTGGGTAGGCGGGTAGGGGTGTGTGTGTGTGTGTGCGTTTGTTTTTTGCTTTTCAGCCGGAAGCCGAATGACGCTGCAGGATCAATAGCTTGACGACAAATCAAACGCAATGCATGCACAGCCCTGTCCCCGACTGTCGACCCCGAAAAGTTTTTGGTAATTAATAAGGGCCCAGCCAAAGGACGCCCTAAATTGTCAGAAGCCCATATTTGAAGGTGACCCTGAGTCTGCTTCACATTACTTTCCAGGTACGTCCATCCAGGAGGACAAAGACGCTTGGAGCGCACTCATTTCATGGCCCACACTTCCTTTCCTGGGCTTGCGCGGGACTTGAAGGTCGTCGAAACATCCTGGGCTGAGGAGATTTAGTATAGGTGTGCGGGACTCGGAGTTTGCCTTTTTTGATTTTGTGAAGGCTGCAGGGCTAAGGCTTGATGCAAAGCCTAAAGCGGTCACGATGATCAGTCGACGCAGAAGAATGTAAACTGGACGGTAGACATCCTGGACAGTTTCAAAAAATATCAGGAATTGCCCTTGTTGTGAATATGACCTCCACGGCCATGATTGCCTTCGTTAGGTTTATGTACGGGTTGATAGTAAGTGCCGTCTGTGTATGTAGGTGCGCACACACACATATATATATATGTGTGAGTATATTTGTATACATACAGATATGTTTATCGTATGTGTATATTTACGGAATACATATACATAGACATATAGCATATGCACATGCAGCACATGCAGTACATACACATACATGTATACATACACACACACACGCACATGTGTGTATTCACATGTCGGCTTCTGATCGCGCATGCCCGACCACTGAGCCAAGGACAAGCTCCGTGATGGACAACACCTTGTGGTCGGCACGCCAGGCCGTCGCTTGATCGAAGACTTCTTCGCAAAAGTCATCAAAGTTTTATACCATAAGGCACTATACCCGAATGAGGCACGATACCCGAAGCACCAACTCTACACCGAGGTAGTGGCCTCTGATCTTGAACTCGTTTCAGTTAACCCAGTGCCTGAGCCCCTGGACCCCACAAGTCGGTTCACAGTTTTCAGGCACAAGCACGCTGTACAGGTGCTGAATGCCCCATGCGAGTATCTATGTATGGGCGTGCGTAATTAAAATGTATGCATGATGTATGTGCGTATCTGCGCGTGTGTGTGTGTGTGGGTGGGTGTAGGTGTGCGTGCGCGTGCGTGTGGGGTTCTTTCTAATAAAGTGGAAATTCTGTGGAAAGTCTTGTATCGCATCTAAAGTTGACAATCTTGGTCCTTGTTCAGGATTCACAGGCTCCCATCAAGTAAATGTTTAGCTTATAGGCAGGAACGGGAAAGAGATGCGAATGATGGACTTCAGAAAAACTTCTTTGCTTCGTGCTACTTACGCTGCAATGTCAGTTTGAAGCTCAAAGAGATGCCCGTGCGACCGAAAGCAGATCAAGAGTGCAGGGGGCTGGACGCTCCCCAGAAGCACCCGCCATTTCGTGAAAGTAAACACATAAAGGAACCAATTCGCTGGATCTTACTCGTGTGTCCATTCTCATGTCGTTCAATAATGAATACACTCTGATCTAATTCGCTTCGCCACCCAGAGGATACCCGGCATCCGTGTTTGGTCACGTCGTTTCATTCTGCTCTCACATCAGTTCAATGTTAAAGAGAAGGAGACGAGAGTAGGTCAAAGGGGCAAATCAGCTTTGAGGTCCAAGCGTACATGCAAAAGTTTATGTATTGCATCCTCTTCAGCTTGCAGTCTGAAGACTTCCGAAAGCTTTCACCGGCTTCATAATCTCTGTTAGATAACTACCTAGTGGAAGACGACGAAAGACGACAAAGATTATCCGAAGCATACCCAAAATCATAGCGAAAAGTATGGTTACCCAAAGCTGGTCCAAGTCTGCTATAACCGAGGCGAAAACGTCGTCCATACTTAAGACGCGATGTAGCTCGCTGTGTTCATCTTCATTTCGTTCTGATAGTGGCTATCCAAGTATAATGTAGCTCGTTTCGCCGCCCAAAGGACACCCAGCGTCCGTGCTTGTTCCTTTCGTTTCATTCTGTTCCATCTTCAGATCAAGTTACGACGACGACAAACAGGACGACAACAAACATTACCAATTCAGACTTGTCTTGGGTTCAATCAAACTTGTCTAGTTGTTTGTTTTGTTGGCAACCCGTTTCAACCGGGGTCGTGTGTGTGGAACTCCTGTTCCAAAGAGATTGAATGTGGTCACTGAACTACGTACTTTGTATCTTTGCTTGACTGCAGTATGATATGAAAACCGATTGAGAATTGCAGGGGGCTGGTAGCTTATTCCGTGATGCCAGCCAACGAAGCTAGCGGAATAGGTGGAGGAGCTATGGACGCATAGCTCTGTACTTGCCAATGTTTCATTTGCTGAAGAGTTATATAAAATATATAAATATAATACAACATAATATAATATAATATGATATAATATGATATAATGTAGTATAATATATATATATATGGCCTTGAGGTTCTTTTAACATGGAAAGTCTTGTATTGCATCTAAAGTTGACAATCTTGGCCCTTGTTCAAGTATCACAAACGCCCTTATAGGCAAGAAAAGGAAAGAGATGAGAATGATGGACTTCAGAAGATGGACGTCAAGTGATGTTGACCTGGATCTGCATGCATGTGTGTGTGTGTGTCGTGTTACCGTCTTGCGTTGCTTGTGCTTTAGACCTTGGGTTTTGCGCTTGTGGCGTTACTTGCGACTCTCGGCATGCCTGCAAATTTTGTAGAAGGGCTAGACGGCTAGGCGGTTCGCCAAAGTTCGACTGCGACGGGGTCCGTCTGAGCTTGGCAACTGACGCTTACTCAGGTTAGGGAAATGACATGTGGTTGCATGGTTAGGCAAACTGCTTGTGGAGACGAGGGAAGGTTGTCCACATTCGATGCACTTCGGTGCTTTTGCAACATCTCAGGTGTGTACGACATGGTGCCTTGATGTGCAACAAGCTGTTGGGAGGACTCCAGCTTTGTGCATGGATTTATGGCGGGTGTATTGCGAGTCTCACAAGCCCGGCCTCACGGCTTTCCGAAGCCTCAAAGCTCCAGAGACTCGAGGACCTCAGGAGGGATATCCAGCCCTGTAGACTGCTTCAGGTCAACAAGCGACACCTGAACGTAGACTACCTGAAGGCGCGCTCTTCCAGGAGTTCTTGGAATCTGTCCCGGGTCCCTGTTAAGGGTTTTCTAACATAGTATATAGTACTCATGCTAAATGAATGATAAGAAGGTATAATAGGGCTTAATCTTAAGTCTGTTACTCCAGATCTCCATCCAACGCCTCATTATTACCCACATTACGGTGGACGTGTGTTCTGATTTGGGCTGTTTCTGAAGGTCCGGATGGAAGTGGCCCCTATGCAACACTGAAACCACAAGCCCCCCGTACTGAACCCTGCATTGAAACCTTGGAAGGTCTTCGTCCTGGACGAAGCCGACGAGCTCATGTCTCGAGGCTTCAAGGCGGCTCAAGTTGGGAAGTGTTTACGGTTTGGGCATACTACTTACCTATTTGGGGATTATGGCAAGATGATGATGATGATGATGACGTAGATGGTGATGGCGATGGTCATAATCATCCTGCTGATGCCGATGAGCGTTTACTCGTCGTGCACTGTAGATGTCTGCGGTTTGGGTGCTGGAATCCAGGCAGAGGGCTTGTGCAATGTATGCTGCAGCCGTTCTGCAGAAGGCCCATGGCCTCAAGTGCAGGCCTTCTGGCAACTTCGACAGCAAAGGCAATCATCATCCATGCACTCTTCGGGAAAGCTCAAGCTGCCGGATAGTGCCCTAAACGCCTAAAAGCCTGGATGGGAATATGCGACGTGATAACAGCCAGTTTCTGCCGGCATGGGCGGTTTCCGTGGTCACATTCGTCAGTAAGTCTCTATTTCGTCAGACATGTTGGCACCAGCTGTTGCGGATTGATCGTCTGCAGGACCAGATCTATGACATCTTCAAGTGCTTGCCTCCAGACGTGCAGGCTAGAATCGCTCAGTTTTACCAGCTACAGGGTTGCGCGATTGTGCCGCACCGATGGAGTACGGGGTGGACCTCCTACCTCGCGTCTTCCGCATGGGTTTGTCTTACTCTTCGTAACGCCCGGCACAAATCTCTTCGGTGTGTTGCAATCTAGATCCTTGTGGTTCGTTTCCTTAGGCAAAACCCATGATATATAAGAGAGATATCTCGCGACCCTACTGTAGGCAAGCTTGGAATGGCATGGTTCCTGATAGTCAGCAAATGATACTCGATGATGCCCGCTCTTACATAGATCAAAGTCATTCCAGCTGTTGTACTTCTGCATCGAACACAAGGAGCATCGCGGAAGGACCGCATCGGGTTGTGGCCGTATGCACCAACCTCGTCTCATCAAGAGTGGCAGGTGTGCCTTTTCTCTGCCACCATGGCTCCAGAAATTCTGGACATGACAACGACGCCCGGACTGGGACTGTGGGTGGTGGTGTGTTCAGTTTAGCTTGGTCGTATCGGTGAGCTATCGCTTGCCATGTGTACGTGGAAGTTCCGTGTCGTTAGTGTCATGGGCTTGAGGAGGGAGACGTTTGGGTGAGACTGCATGTCGTGGAAATCTGCACTCCCATTACCAACAAAATGTTCAAAACCATGGCCCCAAGCTGGGACATCTGTGCTCACCAGCTTCATGACATTAGACATGGGGAAACTTGTGCAAAATTAACTTCCTCGTCCACGAACACTAGGGTCATATCCTGATGGCTCACCGTCCCCGTAGCTCTCGAACAGCCGTGATCCTGCACCGAGGAAGTTCATGCGCAACGCGGTGACTGGACTGGAATCGGCGTCCTTAGAAGTTTCGGCTTTGGGGAGCGGCATGGTTGGAGCGTCGCAAGTGTGGATGTCACATACACAGATGACTTACATAACAATACTGCCGCACAGACTGTGCCGGCCACTGCGTTACATACATGGCAAACGTTGCAGACATGTGTATACCTGTGCATATAGATACATAGCAATTATGTGTGTGTGTATATATATATATATATTTGCATACATATTTTCATATGCATGAATGCATACCAATACACATGCATACATACGTACTTACACAGAAATATTGCATTGTTCATTACAATGCATCACTGTACATGCATGCATGCATGTGTGGATAAGTATGTGTATATGTATAGAAGTATTACATATGTTGTTATATATACATAAAAGATATTAATATGTGCGTGCATAGTATGCGTAAACAAATCCAATGGTCGGACATACATGCATGCAAACGTTCATACATACACAATAAAGCACATGTTTATACATATACACAAACCTACACTACACTGACTACACATGCAGATACAACCACGACAATGTCTTATTGCTGATCGGGAGTAACAGGTACAGATGAACGAAACAACACATCGGTTATATGCATCTGTACATATGCACCGACGTACATATCTACGTACACACCTGGATTTCCCGCCCTTTACTTGTGCGGATGCCTTCAGGTACGCATTCTGGTCAAGAAAGATGAATTGACCTTGGAAGGCCCTGGGCAAAGAATGGCAGGGGTCTTCTCTGAAGAGTGAAGCCTTGATCTTTCTTTCCGGCCCTGGCAAGCAAGAGCATCCCCGAAATTCAAGGGAAACCGTACAGCTCGGTGAAAATGTCGGAGAAGGTTGCCAGGTTGCCAATGCGAAAGTGTGAGGTAGCACATCCAAGAGTGGCAGTCGATGATCGGTTTGGGCTTCTGCGGGCAAAAACAGTCCCGCCACACACCTCATACCGTTCTTTCGGGAAATGCGGAAGGCTTGCAATGTCTTCGGGATGCGGGGTCATCGGCCGAAGTTCTTCCGGAGCTGTAGTCTAACTCGCAACGCTGCGAATGAAGACTGCAAGGCACTCGTGGCTTTGACGGGTAATTTCTTGTGAGACGATTCTTGCATCGCCGAATTGGAAGATTCAACCCAAACGGTATGGCATGGCCTGGGCTCTGCAGACATGAGGTCTGTTCTGAAGTATGGATATCAAATATGGCTTCTGCCAGGAAATCATGACCTTACGTCTCTGACTCCGAATTAGTTGTTGATTCTGGGAGGTATCCGCCAGTTCTACGTGGCAATTGAGAAGGAGGCAAGGGCAGTGCGCTGCACGGCCGGGTGCAAGCAACGTAAGTAATGCGGAGACAAGGGCTCAGAAAGCCCAAAGCACGGCCCGAGGTTCAAGGCTGTGTTGAATGGCCTCGGGTCAATACGAAATCCAGTGTCCAGGAGTGGAAGGTTGACACGCTCTGCGACTTGTACGAGACACTGACCATCACACAGGCAATTATCTACTGCAGCTCGGCAGATAAACGTGTCCAGTTTCGGTGAGTTTGCATTAAAGTGCTACGTTGCATAGAGGCTTTCGTAACATTCTTACCAGATGATGTCCGATCCCCGATTTTGTCGGCATTTAGGTTGTTTTGGTTTGGGTTTGTGGAGGGTGGATTTAGCCACAGGCTGCTTGGTCAGTTTGACTCGAAGGTTCAGGATGTTTGCATGTTGGGTTCCGAAGTCTGGTAGCTTTTCGAACGTACCGAAAGGCGAACGTCTAATGCCCGACACTTTCGAAGATCTTGAGCACATAGCGCCAGATTGAAGCCACTTCACTGATCGATGTATCGCCCAAGCTGCCGCATCTGCATCCGACCGTCTTCCGACAGGGTGATAGACGAGTGTAGACCGATTCAGGAACTGACCCCGTAATTCATGCACAAAAGTCAGGAACTGCATGGACCAATTCAGGCCCATCGCGGATCGGAACAGCCACGACCAAATTCAGGAAACCGACGGCCCCAATTCATGAACCACGAGGGCCGAATTCAGGAACCGAGCCTGTCCGGCTGCTGAGTCGAGCCTCAGGATTCGGACTTGGCGTTTCGGCTTGGGATTTCGGCTTTAGGGTTTCGGCCCTGAGACTCACCAGGGTTTTGGGGTTTCGTCCTTCAGGCTTCAGGGTTTCGGCCCCAGGGCTCGGTTTCGGGGTTTAGGTTTCGGCTGTAGGGATTCGGCCTTAGGGTTTCGGTTTCCTTTGTATGGTCTCGGCCTTGGGGTTTCGGCGTGAGGATTTCGGTTTTTGGGTTTCGGTTTCGGCCTTGCGATTTCGGGTTTAGGGTGGTAATTTTCACCTGCACTTCAACCTTAACACCAACCCGGGCTAACTTCAAGATTGGGGAGCTGGGCCCGGGATTAACTCCAAATCGGGCCCTAAGCACAAAATCTATGCAATGAGAATATCCTATTCCCCACAACAAGTTGAAGCTTAGAACTATGAGCCCCGCGACATAAATGATAACGCGTAGGCATAAGCCTTGGCTCTTGGCTTACGTCGACACAAACTTACAAAACTTAAACTGCCACACAACGTCAATTCCTACGCACGAGCACGAGGATCAGACACGTCCACTGATCGTGGGAAGGAGCTGTTCCACACACTCTGCTTGGATTTGGTCTGATAAGGGTCGGCGGTGGGGTTGGGGTGAGGGGTGTTTGGGGTGGGCCGGATTTGAACTTACATAAAAAGGATGGCGATCAACACCGGTGTTCACATGTTGGGGTAAAGGGGATAAGTTCCACACCGGTGTTGAACTTGCCCGCATCAACGCTGAAAAACTTTAAATATATCACCGGCAAAACTATAATATCGAAAACAGATAAGTTCAACACCGGTGTTGATCTGATCGGACTCAAATCTGAAAAAACAACGAGCTAGCGCCAGAAAGTCAAAAGTTAAGTTCAACACCGGTGTTGAATCTGCCGGGCTCAACTCTGAAAAAACGAGCTAGCGCCTGAAATAAAAGTTAGTTCCAATGAAAAGAGTTAAGTTCAACACCGGTGTGGAACTTAACTTGGTAAAAGCATTAAAGCTCAACACCGGTGTTGAACTTTCCGGGTTCAACTCCGAAAAAAGTTCGCACCCGGAAAAAAGTTAGCTCCGCTGAAAAAAAGTTAAGTTCAACACCGGTGTTGAAATTGTCGGAACTAACTCTCGAGCCGGTTTTTATGCATGAGATTCCGGCTGCGAAAACTGCTTTTTCACTGGAACTAACTTATGTTTTGGCTTTTTGCGGCACTGTTTTTTTCAAGAAAGGAGTTAATTCCAGCGAAAAATCAGTTTAAAAAGTTAATTCTTTTCGAACTGATGGTTGCGCAGCCGAAATCTCATGCATAAAACCCGGCTCGAGAGTTGGTCCCGAAAAGTTCAACACCGGTGTCGAACTTAACTTTTTTCAGCAGAGCTAACTTTTTGTTCCGGGTGCGAACTTTTTTTTCGGAGTTGAACCCGGGAAGTTCGACACCGGTGTTGAGCTTTAACCCTTTTCCCAAGTTAAGTTCAACACCGGTGTTGAACCTAACTCTTTTCATTGGAACTAACTTTTTTTCTGGTGCTAACTCGTTTTTCAAACTTGAGCCCGGCAAGTTCAACACTGGTGTTGAACTTAACTTTCCTCCTTGGGGCCAACACTCGTTAAACAGAGTTGAGCGCGGTGAGTTCAACACAGGTGTTGAACTTAACTTTCTGTTTGTATTATCTTGTTTCTGGTGCTGACTCTTGCTTACAGGGCTGAGCCCGGTAAGTTCAACACCGGTGTTCAACTGGGTCCATTTACCTCCACATTTCAACACCGGTGTTGATCGAAATCTCGTTTGTGTAAGTTCAACTCCGGCCCACCCCAAACACCCCAACCCCACTCCCGCCCCCAGCCGGACCCAATCCTTAAAGAAGAGTGCGTGGAACATATCTTTGCCACGATCGGTAGACGTGTCTCTTCCGCGTGTGCTTGCGTAGGAGTTTACGTCGTGTGATGTATAGGCTTACGGCTTATGCTTTAGAGTGCGGGGCCCATAGTTCTAAGCTTCAACTTGTTGTGGGCAATAGGATATTCTCATTGCATAGATTTTGTGTTTAGGGCATATTCTATCGATCTAACCCCGATTTCGAGTTAATCCCGAGCCCAGCTGCCCTATCTTAAAGTTAGCCCCGGATGGTGTTGAGGTTAAGCCCCCCAGGCAGTTCAGGTGAAAAATGGCAGTTTAGGGTTTCTGCCTTGGGGCTTCCGGCTTTAGGCTTCAGGGTTTGGGGGCTAGAGTTTAGGGTGGCTAGAGTTTAGGGTGTCATTTGGGCCTTGGGATTTCGGCTTCAGGGTTTCGGCCATCGGGTTTTCCGCTCTAGGGTTTTGGGTTTGGTTTCGGGCTTGGTGTTAGCTCCAGATATCTGACTTGAAGCAGCGTGAACGACATGCACGAAGTCAGATCCATGTGTGCCGGAATTGTAGATATGTCTTGAAACAGTGTACCCGAAAAGATTCTTTGATGCCTGAATTTTGACCCACTGGTTTGACTCTCGGGGTTCTCGGGTTTCGGCCTCAGGGTTTCGGCCTTCAGGGCCCAGGGTTTCGGCCTTAGGGTTTCGGCTTCAGGGTTTCGGTTTCGGCCTTGGGATTTCGGCTTTAGGGTTTGGGGTTGCGGGTTTAGAGTTTAGGGGTGTCGTTTCGGCCGCCAAAACCCTAAAAAAAAAACCCTACCCTGAGGGCGAAAGCCGAAATCCTAAGCCCGATTCGTGGAAGCTCTGGATATCTGACTTGAAGCAGCGTGGCCGAAATGCACGAAGTCAGATCCATGTGTTGCGGAAGTATATATCTGTCTTGAGCAGCGTATCCGAACAGATTCACTGCTCCTGAATTTAGAACCACTGGTTCCTGAATTTCGACTTCAAGTTCTCGAGTTGGGTCGTCCCAATTCCGGAATTGGACCAGGCAGTCCACAAATCAAGTTTCAGAATGTCGATTTTCCCGATTTCCGGTTCCAGAATTGACCACGCGGTTTTTGAATTTGGTTTCTGAGCTGGGCGTCATCCGGTGATAGACAATGGCTGTTGCAAATTGGGGCTGTAATTTTCGGAGACTTTACACGTAGAGCACATGTCTAGCAGCTCGAGCACCGAAGCCATGCCGAGGCAACACCCGCCGCAAGGTGGACTTTTTGCAGGATCAGCTGACCAAGCGGGACTTCACTGTGTCCTGCACCTTGGGTGGGAACAGCGAAGCCCAACTCGCTCCCAGCGCTGCGTAGGGGCAGCTCCCCAAAAAGCATGCCGAAAGCCTGAACACTGAGCCCAGACCTGCACCCAACTTTGCGGAAGCCCAAAAACAATCAGATCAAATCCTTTTGAAGCTCCACGCCCTTGCGCACTGGCTAACTGAGGCATGCACGCTGACTTGGACCAGAAGGACAACTCGCCGGGGGAAAGCGTCTTGCTGGCTGAGCCGCAGAATCTTCCAGAAGCGTAAGTCAAAGATAGCATATCACGCAGTATTGCACCCATTTGAACATCCCGAATGCATGAAGATTGTAAACCTAGAAGATCATACACACATAGATAAGATAACTGGATAGATAGATAGATAGCTAAATGGGTAAGATAGCAAGTGAACTAGGTAGATAGGCATGCAGACAGATAAATAGAGAAATAGAGATAGAAGTAGTTAGATGAGAATGAGACGAGCTCTCTGAGGTAGGTAGGCAGGTAGATAGATAGATATCCCGAACAGCGTGATACACACTATGGGACGAAAAGGCTAAGCACAAAGAGAATCGGTTCGGTTGGGCACGGGCGCGCTGCTGAGAATGCTGCTGCTCCCGCGGTGGCATGATGCATGGCTTGCGCTCGCATCCTAGTATTTGCAAAGGAGCCGTGCAGCCGCGTCCTCTGGAAAGCCAGACTCATGGTCAATTCCAATGCATTGGCCTTGAAAACTCTGAATCGCCAACACTCGGAAGAAAGCACTTCGCCCACCTCCGAATCCCGACAGTACTTGGGAAAGCATGCCAGTGTTCCTGAATCCCGCCAGTAGATAGGGTTGGGCACGTCGCTCATGTGCCAGTAGATGGAGGGAAGCATTCCTGCTGACCTCCTCGCGATCTCTGTGTGGTCTCCTAGGTTCTGCTGGTGATTTCCTGGTGGTCTCGCGGTGGTTTCTTCGTTCGTGGTCTCCTGGTGGTCTTGGTCGTCGTGGTGCGCTGTCACGGTTTCGGGATCGCGATGGCCTAATATGTGAGCATTGATCTGAATCTAAGGTCCGCGTCATTGGCTTTATACAGGACGGCTTCAGTTTTAAGTGTAAAGCAATGTGTCCGCGAATGTCTCGATGGCTCCGCACAAGGAAAACAAGTTCCGCGAAAGGTTTATAGAACATACCATCATCCTGCAGGCGCACAGGCCTCAATGCCCAAAGCCACGAGAAGCGCGAAAGTTCATCGTAAGTTGTGCTTGTGCATTGTTAAAGTCGGCTCAGAGCTTGTGTGCAATGCTTCTAGAAGACGACACACGAAAGTTCCGCGATGGACCCGGGAAAGGACAACACTATTCCGGGAAGAAGTCACTTGCGGAAGGGGATATTTATTACATTTGTAGTATATCTGTCAACGTACAACCAATGTGTCTATATAAAGTAACATGACTTTCCTTAGTCTAATTTTGTATTTACTGAATCATATATGTGTACACATCCAATGCAGGCATGGTCTTGTGGCTTGAGTGTGTCAGTTGCAGGCGAGCTTGTTGGGTTGGCCGCATTGTGAGTGTGAAATGTTGGTTGTCGTGGTAGTACTCTCCGTGCTTTGTTGAGGAGGATGTTTGGACGCTGTTTTGACTCCCGGACTCCCTTTGCAGACGTAGTCTTGTGGCTTCGAGTCACCCGGTGTGCTTGTTGGCGATGCCTGAGCCTTGCTTAGCTCTGAGCAAGTCTCGTGGACTTGCATCTAAACAATTTGGCAGCTCAACTCTTTACAGGAGCGCGACCTCGTCATGCGAGAGTTCCGTTCGGGCTCCTCTCGCATTCTGATCTCCACTGCCGCTCGCCTTTAGATGTCGACTGCGGCTGTACAGCTCATGCAGATGTCGAGGAAGTGTTTGTGGCCGGAGTGCTTCAAACTTCATCTCCGGACAGGTTACCAGGTGTCTAGCTCTAGTTTAGAGAACTGTGCACAGGTACAGTATCGAGGATCCGATTTCCACGCAACCTACCTCCGAACCACGTGAAAGCTTAGGACCTGCTTGCACGTGGCATTGACGTGCAGCAGGCCTGGGATCTCGCTTGGGTTTCCGGTTTTAGAGGTCTTTGCTTTGGGATTCTCGAGCAGTTCTGGATGCAGACGTTTTGGACATGTGAAAGTTTAGAGGGACAACCATAATTTCTTGTTTTGCATATCTGGCGACCACCATCTCTGAGCTTCTGTAAAATCAACCAAGCGAGTGCTACGGTTTTGCAAGCCCCTGCCTCAGGTGTCCCTGGCGACTTTTCTGCATTTACTGTACGGTCTTGTGGGGCTTTCTCATGGTTTACACAGCCAATAGGAGCTCTCTGCCTCTGTCCTCCCCTGACCTGCCATTGAAAAGACTGCTAGCTGCCTTGGCAGGAGAGGGTTTACCTTAAGCATTGGCGGCCTTGGTTGCGGTGTTCGTGATAGAAACAGTAGTATGCTACACTTCTGGGACATGCTAGGCAATAGAATCAGAAGTCGTTTCCAGATAGAATCAGAAGCCGTTTCCAGATCTAGAAACTTGAGTTTGGCATTCTTGTGTGCGTGTGTGTGTGTCTATTATCATCGACCTGAAGAATCATAAGAATCCACGCAGACATGGCGTGAAGGTTTGCTAGAACCTGGAGGCATGGTCCAGTCAAGCAACTAAGCCCAGACTTTGAGCTCAGAGCCGCACTGACCGTTCGGACCGAGAAGATGATCTTCAAGAGCGGGTCGAAATTCCACTATTGCATAGCTCAGATGTGGAACTCACACCCCCAACATGGCTGTTGAGAAACGCGGACTTGGGATGGTGACAGATTTCCGGGGCTTGGGCGCAACCGCCCAAACCCTCGCTAACTGCTCATCAAATCAAGTCAAGAACATTTATGCCCGGCCAAACAGAATGCTGTTGTCAGGCATTTTTGGAGGTGTGAACAAGTTTCTGCAGAGATCAGGATGAATTGGGGGGGCTTCCGATTCCGAATTCCTAGTCTCAGGATTTGGGTCGCAACACGAATCGGAGCCCTGTTGGAAGCAAGGTGATCAACTACGACCTTCCATCCAACATGGACCGGGCCTGAGCTGCGTGCAGTGCTGTACTGAAGGCTTCCGAGTGGGATTGAAGTGAATGCTTTCGTCTAAGGAGAATTACCTGCACCGCATTGGTCGCAGCGGTCGTTTCGGCAACTTGGCTTTCGGGGCCGGGGTCAAGTGGTTTGGGCGTTTGGCGCGAGCCCATCCCAGATGAACTACTTCCAAGAGTGCGATACCAAATGGAACCCTGCATGGCTCCTACAAACCTACTCCATCCGTACCAGGTTGCCACCCCCACCAACTCCGCAAGAAGCCCATGCCGTTCGCCTGCTGACTCAAACTCGCATACCGCATAAAGGCTGACGGCACGGATGTCACCGCTGCGCCATAATGGCAAACAAGCGAGCATTGAGGCTACCAATAGGACACTAGGATTAAGGAACCCTTTCAAGTACAAAGCCCATGGACCTTATGGTTTGTGTTACAAGCCTAACTTACGGGTGTGTGCGGTGGCTTGCTGTCTCCACCTGACCCCGATCCAGGTCGAAAGGGTGTGGCCATCAATTTTGTGACGAACAGTGACGTTCGCGTGATGAAAGACCTAGAGAGGCCGGGCAGAGTTCGCAGACTCCGCAGAATCGCCCAGAGCAGCTCAGAATTTCCTGGACTGGAACCGGGGTTGCGGGCCTTTCAGTGTTGAAGGGCTTTGACCACCAGCATGACGTCGAGGCTCGAGACATAGCTCATCATTGAGAGACCCTCCGATGACAGTCTAAAGCACGCAGTCGAAGTACTGCCCAAAGTTTCGCCATGGCATTGAGCCAGGGCTGCACCACATCATCCAAAGAACTCTCGGAGCTCCCCCAAGCTCTGATCAACATCTGTGACCATCTTGAGGTCTCGTGATGAAGAGGATGAAAGGGCAGTAGAAGCCATTACCTGTTGCATCCTCCGACCGTCCAAGTCATCTCCCTAGCTCAGGCCTGCGAACAAGATGTGTCTTGCGACCTTGTTGTCACCTCCCTATTGACCAAAAATGTTGTTACACAAGGCTTGTTTCCGAATTGTTGGCTCTGCGTGGCAGTGATGGCATGAAGGGAGTTGCCAATCTATCTCTGTTTGTATATGTTTACATGCGTGTTGTAGACGGAATCCCTGCAGCATGTTTTCTTTTTTGAGTCCGTCTGTCTGTCCGTCTATCCTGCCCCCGTCCCCTCCGAAGTGATTGCCGTCAGTGACTCGGAGGTTTTACCACACCCAGATCGAGGAGATGCCAATGGACATCGCTGACCTCATCTGAGCACTTGAGCTGTTGGCCATTGTTGGGGTCCGCGTGGTTTCTCGAGTGTTGCTGGATGAAGCGTAGGTTTCTATATGGCAAGCCTTCTATCTTGAGGTCGTGATGTTTGACCCAGATTATGATCGTCACCCCAACGATGTCCACGGAGAGTTTGTCGTCGTCGCGACGTTTTCCGAGCCTTGCTGGTTTCGCTCTCTGCCAGGACACAAGCAGAAGTGCTTGGCGAGAGTTCTCACATACCTGCCTCACACCGTAAAACCACGGAGAAGTTTCAGTTGCGGTTGTTCGAAGAGCCGTTTCAATTCTGGAACAGCTTCATATTTTGCTTTGTTGTGATTCCAAGTTGGATGGTGTCGTGGCACCAGTACTCCCCCTGAGCCTGGGAAAACTGCATGTATAGCATCTTACAGCATTGCAGATCGGTACATTCTGATCAGGGCCCCTATTTGGGAGGGGCTGTGGATTGAGGGCACGGGGGTTCAAGCCACATGTTCATGGAGACTTTGGTGGCTCCGTGGTCGTCTATGCGCAGGTGATTGAACTGCGATGTGACTGTCACAGAACTGAGTGATTTTGTGCCACTAAGGCTTCTGCACACAAAAAAGGGTATGTGCCTGCCTGCACTGGGTTTGAGATTGACGAGTTTTGTTCACAATTTTGGCCCAGAACCCTTGCGAATCGGGACCGCCCACATGCCTTACTCGGTTGGACGTCGACTCCTTAGACCTCACACCTAAGATCAGCTTTGCATGAGCTCTTCAAGCTAAAGAAAAGCTCACTAACTAGTGGGAATGTTGATAACCATGTTGAGCCGGAGTCCCTAGAAGAAATTCCGCAGTGGCCTTGCCAGATATGGTTGCCACTACACATGAAGCTATGGCCACGGCTGTTGCTCCTACTGCCCCACTCAGTTGATACTAAGTTGTATCA